ATTAAAATACATTATAATCAGGTAATTAAAATAAATAATTAAAAAAAAAACCCAGAGACACAAAATACTGCGTGACATTATTATTATTATGCTGGACGTATTCCGTTTCCGTTAAAATAAAACGACGTTTCGTGGAAAAACGAACACTACCTTATTAATGTATTGGTGAGAAATATATAAATACTTTCTATACTAAAGTTGTAGAATTAAGAAAAAGTTATAAACAAAGATTGAACTTTCTGATCACTGGAGAATTTTCAATTTTGGAGAAGAAGATTACGTCTTTTTCCAATTGACGTGTATACCGGGTGTCTCCCCTAAGACTCATTTATGTATAGCGGCATTATTATTAGTTTTAATTTTTATTAGACACTTCCCATAATTATCCGTGAATCTACAGTGTGTCCAGTTTTCGCTGGTAGATACCCAACTTTGCTATTTTAAATGGAATACCCAGTATTGTATTAAATATTTCAGTTATATGGTAAAATTAAAGACCATTTTATTAAAAATGATGTTCCAGAAATCTTGATAGTTTTTGAGAATATTCTTGAAAATTTATGTCGAAAAAAAGTTGACAATTGTAATTTATTATTTTTCACAATAATTAACTTTAACAGCTTATGCTTTGGCATAAAATATTGAGAGTTCCGATGTCTTGCACTCATCATCATTATCATCATACGGTCGTCAGTCTTAAGACTAGTTGGACACGCACCTCCACTCGTTCTTATCCTGCGCTAATCTTCGTATTTCCCTAAAACTAGAACAACCCACATCCTTAACTATTTGCGAACAGTAATCTAACCTAGGTCTACCTCTACCCCTCCTAACTTCTGTTTCTGCCTGTAATATGTCTTTGACTTTACCTCCATGCCTGCGAAGGTGTCTTACTAACCTATCTCGCCTATTTCTTATTGACTTCCATACAGTCCTCTATTCTGTTACTCTTTGTAATACCTTTTCATTTCTAACCTTCTCTATCCACTGTATCCTCATCATTCGTCTGTAACACCACATTTCGAACGCTTCTAACCTTTTCTATTCCGCCGCGCCTACTGTCCACGTTTCGCACCCGTACAGCGCCGTGCTCCAAACATACACCTTTAATAACCTTTTTCGGATTTCTAAATTAAACGTTCGCGAGCTTAGAATTGACTTCTTTTTATTATTCGACACTGCTCCTCTGCTTTATATCCCTACTACTCCTTCCGTCCTGACTTATCTGACTTCCTAGATACCTAAAATCGGCCATTTCTTTAATTTTTCGTTTCCTATCATTATATTCACTCTTTTTCTACGTTTTGTATTGGCTGTGAATATTCATGGTATGCTAGACTATTAAAATATTGTGGATTGTAGCATATCTTTCTGAGAAGTGCTTGTAACTTTTAAACGACTGACTAGGTTATACCTCGATAACTATCAGGATTTCTGGAACATCGTTTTTAATAAAATTGTCTTTAATTTTACCACAGGACTGAAATATTTAATAAAATACTGGATGTTCCATTTAAAATAACAAAGTTGGGTATCTGCCAATGAAAACTGGACACCCCGTAGATTCATGGATAATTTTGAGAAGTGCACAATAACAATTGAGATAACTTTTATACGAAAAAGTTTTACCTAAAACTAATAATAATGCTGCTATGGAGAAAGCGATCTTACAATTGGGCATGACACCTTGTATATATAGATAAATTGACATAATTAAATCAATAAAATGTTAAAATGTGCCTACTATTAACTACTTAATATATTTTTGATTTAATGTAGTGCGTATTAGTGTTCTTTAACCAGATAAAAAGTTATAACTTGATCATTATTTTGAAATATACCAAATATAATGATGATAAGGTTGAAATAATATTTACGAAAATATTAGTTATATGAGATAATGGTATCAAATAATGGGTACACTGCCTCCCGTTTATGCTGAATTTTATAATTATTTACAATATATTGATTAATTTATACAAGCAATGGTACTTTGTATGTCTACCTAAAAATTTATGTCGAAATTGAGACCATGAGACCATATTTAGTTAATATTGGAAGTTAAAACTGCTGACAAATTACAGATATAGAAATTGAGCAAAATTGTATGTAGATGTATATTTTTAACAATATGAAATATGAAGTTCCATCATACAGGACCATTATCATTTTAATTTTCTTAAATTTTATACTGGATTTTTAAAAAATCAATTTGATGTGATACCTCGGAAATACGTTGGATTTAAATATTGAATAAATAAGACTTTTACATGGTGGAGCTCTTTATATTCACTATGGCCACATATGTTTATTAATGATAAAGAAAAAAAACTATTAATATTCACTTTGAGTAGAGAATTACATAAACGATAACAGTGGATTCAAAATTCAAACACACCGTATAAAAATTGTTTTATAAAACATTAAAATTTAAACAGTTTTTCTAGAATTAGGTAGTTAACAGTTTTATGGAATTCCTTGATCCAAGGTTAATGTAAGGAGTTAGAAAAAGTTCAACACTAATTTTTTCATATTTTCTTTTAAACATTGTATGAAATTAATTTAATTCCTTTCCTACTACTGATTACTCTCTTTCATCATTTGCTATGTGGACAGTTTTTGAATTTTCTTTCTGAGCAACGAAAATTGATTTCGGATGTCAATAACGAGTTATCTAATTTGTTGTTGTAATTGTCTACGTAAATGAAATAAGTTCTGATATTCTCTTGTTGAAAAATTTAAAACATTTCATTATGCTGTATGTTTTGTATGTATCTTATATACATACCAACACAGTACGTAATTGTGGAACAAGCATCACGTGATTTCTGATGAACATTAAATTTATTTTCTCTGACCGGATTACAGTCTATTCCATTATTTCATTCTTTGTGTTACGAGCAATAAAGCCATTACTATTTGCAGCTAGTTTTACTCTTTAAATCTCAGGCATTCATTATCGTAACTATTATTCTGTGTAATAATGTTTTTAATTTTATTGTGTGCATTTGGTGCTGTAAGTGGTGTTGTTGGAACGGTTCATCCTCTTTCTGATGAATTCATCGATTCCATAAACAATAAAAATACAACATGGGTTGCAGGACGAAATTTTGTCAGTGTATCAATGTCCTATATTAGACAACTTATGGGAGCACTGCCAGAGCCTCCAAGCCAAAAATTAAAAGCAATTACGCATAAATTAGAAGATATACCAATTAGCTTTGATTCAAGGGAACAGTGGCCTGATTGTCCAACAATTCAAGAAGTTAGAGACCAAGGTTCATGTGGCTCTTGCTGGGTATGTATTTACCATATATTAGGTTTGCATTCAAAAGAACCTTAAACAATAACAAAATTAATTTACTTCAAAACAATTACAGTTAACTTTAAAATTAAGTTTTAGGTTTTAAAAGTATACTTTAAACTATAAATCGAATAAAATCTCAATCTTTATTTATTTATTTACTTTTATGTATACGGAATTTTAATCCTTTTTACATTACGAGGGCTGTTCAATAAATACTCGTGTTAGATATGAAGACACCTTTTTTTTAAATTTTTTTTTTATTTTTCAACATAGTCCCCTTTTAGAAAGATACACTTATCCCAACG